GAGGCAGGCAGATCTCTGTGAGTTCAAGAGATCTGTGGTCTACATAGTGAGTTCCAGGCCAGCTGGGGCTACAGGGAGATCCTGTCTCAAAAAGACCAATAAAATATATACATATATATATATTTAGGAGATAACCATATTATTTATTGATACGAATTTCTTGTTCAAAAATGCATCAAAATATAGCCAAATTTAATGAACTGTCACACTTAACTGGAAACACATAACTGGAGGTTCTAACACTGCCTGCCGGCCAGCAGCCTTCCTCATCCCTCCTTCCACTTTCAGGGCTTTTCCGGAGTGATTCGGGGGTGATAATCCTGGACACATGCCTTTGGTTGACTATAAGTAGCAAGTCTTCTATTCTATGGCTTGTCTTTGCACTCTCTTAAAGGTATCTTTTGAAGGACAAATGTTCTTAATTTTACAATAGATAAAGGAATGTATCTTTATGGTTAGTACTTTCCATGTCCTTTCCCTAACAGGAACATTTTAATAGACCCCTTAAACACCATAATTGATTGTAATCCCTAAATCAGATTCATATATTTTATTTTCCTCATTTCTTAATAAATTTAAAAAAGAAGATATATATTTTTTTCCAGACTGCAGACAATAAATAAGATATTCACATTATCATAGAGACCTTCATATTTCTGGATTTTTCTGAGTAATCAAATCATTGTTACAGAAAAAAATATATATTTCTGTTCATGTTAAGTTACTGATCTTTTTCCTGTTGATATACTCAGATAAAATTTGGTTCTTCCTTTAAGATTAAGCATCACATAAACTGGCCATGGTGGCATACAGCTGTAATCCCAGCACTTGGAAGGTAGAGGCAGGAGGATCAGAAGTTCAATGTTGCCCTCAACTACAAGGGAGTTAGAGAACAGTCTGATTAGAGACCATAGCTTTAATTTAAAAAAAAAAAAAAATCAGGTACTTGAAGAGTGCTATTATCTCTTCTTTTATTTTTGCTTCTTGTGCTATGTAGCCCAGGCTGACCTCTGAACTTGTGATTCTCATGGCTCACCCTTGTAACTGTCCTGCATTCTTTCCATCACACAAGTGAATATGCATTCACTTTTCCTTATTAATTTTTTTATATGTGTTTTTGCCTGCTTGTATGTAAGTGCACCACATGTGTACTATGCCTGTAGAAGCCAGAAGAGGATGTCTGATCTTCTAGAACGGGAGTTATAGACAGTTGTTAGCTGCCTTGTGATCACTGGGAACTGAACCTGGGTCCCTCTGTGACAGCAACCAGTGCTCTTATCTGCTGAGTCATTTCTCCAACCCCTTTGATAACCTTACATTTTTTAGTTTAGACTCTTTAGTTACCTTTAGAATATGATACTGTGGCTCTTATTTAGTACCTACATTCTGGGTTACTAGATAGACCTATTTTATTTATTTTATATTATTTGCAGTTCAGAGATTAAACCTAGAACCCTATGCATACTCGGAGCTGTACCCCAGCCCTAACGCAGATTTCAGTTTAGTATCTTAAGGCATTGTTGACCCTTAAGTAGGTCTTCAAACAAGCAAAGCTGTAGTTTTTGTGATATTATTCCATAATACAGATTCCTTAGTTACATGGTTAGCCATTTCTATTTGTTAAATTTTAGACAGTTACGTAGCAAATATAAATATATTTTTATCTGTAAAGTACTATTGATAAGAATTATTATCAATAGTTGTGACTCGGGTTGTTATGAAAGTAGAAAGGATGCATGCAAATTTCCTGGCCAGTAGCAAACATCCAAAAACATTAATTAGCACTATTTATTTCTTTTTAAAAAATGTATCTGAGCAGGGTGTGGTGGCGCATACCTTTAATCCCAGCACTCAGGAGGCAGAGGCAGGCAGATCTCTGTGAGTTCAAGGCCAGCCTGGTCTACAGCGCGAGTTCCAGGCCAGCTGGGGCTACAGGGAGACCCGGTCTCAAAAAGACCGAAAAAAAAGTGTATTTGATGACA